TAATTTGGGTCACCAAACCTAACAGACACAGGTAGGAGCATCCTTTCCCGTCCATGTCCCATTATTCATCCCATTTAATGTTCATTTCAAAATACAAGTTTTTTATAACACAAAAAGAAAAGAATCATCATCATTTCTAATAAACACATGGATTTTTTTACAATTTGAAAAAAGTAATGTTTTCACTAACCAAACGCATTAAAAAAATAAAAGAAAAATAAATAAATTGAACGATAAACGAGGTAGGAGATTTGTCCCACACTGCTCTACCTTAACCAAATATGGGGCAGGGTAAGGAACAAAAAACTAGACGGAACAAAGGACGAGAAAGGCTGCTCCTACCCCTTCCGATCCCGTTTGCATCCCTATTTGAAAGAAATGAAAATATAAAATTAATTTAGGGGGTTGGTCGCTATGGCATTGACAAATAAAATCATTTGTATATTTTTTTCTCTCTATTTTAATTTTTTTCATGCACTCATCTTTATTATTACTTATGTTATCGTCATAATCACTATTAAATTTGAAAAACCACCAAATTAGTTTTTCATCTTATATTAGGGGTGTCCAAAAGTCCCGAATCGAACCGGACCGAACCGAACCCGAACCGAACTGAACCGAACCGAGCGGTTCTTCATAAATTAAATACCCGAACGGGTACCCGAATCGAGAACCGATGGGTTTGGGTCGGGTCTCGGGTCTAGACCAAGAACCGAAGAACCGAACAAGAACCGAAACTAAATAATTTTTTTATTTTTTATATTGAATTAATTAAATTATTTTATTTTTTTTCCTATACAAATTAGCAAATTAATTGAATAAATTAGATTATTTCATAATTTTAATTTTTAAGCCCAAATCATTTTAAAATCCATTAGCCCATTTTAATTTGAAGCAAATGAATATACTTTATGTAGTTTTGCTGTAATATTAATATCTACTTTTTGGTATTTGTATGCATTGAATTAATCTTATTGGACGGCTAGTTTTGTATATTTTTTTGAATTGGGCTACGTTAATTTGTAAAAGTTACGAATGAAATGTTATTAATTGTATTTATGTAGTGTTGCTGAAAATATTAAAAAATTTAATTATGGTACGGAA